AAAGATATTTCATTTATCACTGACTCTTTGTGGATGAGATTTATCCATGGAATTTTACTATGAAACAAACTATTGTTTTTTAAATTATTTGTACAACAATAACTAAGGCATCATTTTCAAAGATTGATATTCTTCTCTATAAGCCAAGAGGCAAGGCATCCATCAATTAGGTCGTGCCTTGAACTACTTACATCCTTTCACTTTTACTTGGTCTCAAAACTTTTGAGGCCAACCTTGTACCAGCTTCCTGGCTCAAGCGAAAATTGTTGCTTCTTCTGAGGTGCTCTCTGTGTGTATATACAGCTTTGTCTGTATATTACCGCGCCTGTCTGAGTGACGCGCACACAAGACCATTAGGAGCACACCTACTATACGTGGAACTGTCGGTGTGCAAGGTGAAGCGCTCTGCCGGCAAAGACATTCAAATTTAAATACAAATGTTGCACGTGCCTCGTAGGTGTTTCAGTTGCGAGTCTCCCGGCAATGGGCCATATCGGCACGTGTGTGTTGGCCCTGTAGGAGCGTCTGTGTGAGTGCGCCCATTTCGGTGATTGCGCTGCTAAGGTTTAATAAAGCAACACCAAGACGACGCCGTCGAGGGGGACAATTACGTGGAATTGCGGAGAACGCGGAGAAATGGCTGCCATTCCGAGGCATCGAGCACCGGAGTGCCGTGACTCTGCTCTCGTATAATAAAGCAACTTGCCTTCGTAATTGGCAGCCGCAGCCAGGAATAAAAAAGCGGGACTATAGCATAGGCAAAGGACGCACACGAAGAAAAAAAACTTTAAATTGAAATGAAATTAAGTGTGAAGCTCCGGGATCCGCTCACAGAAAAGGTCGAATGCTGGCACACAACATTAGGGGCCGCCCTCCAGGTGCGAGGACGACTGTACATAATTGTTTTCGGTGCGTTTGTTTAGCTTAATTAAAATACCCGCTGCAAACACTGAGGTGTGCGTGGCCACAAAAAGGAAATGTATATAGGCAATCTGGCATATATACAGAATATTATTATATTTTTTATGTTACAGCCAAATTTCTCTCTCTAATTTTGCCCTGGAGCTGGCCACGTGATAAGTCAGGCGGTGGTATTAAATGTCAATAAACTTGTTGAGCCTTTAGAAACTCGAGCCAGTCACAGGTGGACTTTAATTTGTTGGCTACATCGTATATTAAATATTTAAATCAACCAAAACCTAACCACAAATTCTTAGTTTAATTGCTATTGTCCGTAGACAATTTCAAGCGCTTGAGCTTGTAATCTCATTTAAATATGAACGGAATTTGAGCATAGGTTTTGCAGGTATTTTCAAATAAAGCCGAACTAAATGCCAATCAAATGACAAGTTTTAAGGCACTTAATTTGTGGTAATTTTAAACTTTATTAATACTTTTGAGACATTACAAAGATGTCATAGTTTGGCTTTAAACTGACTTGAAAGGCTGTACGGCTTGAATTATAGATAACCAAGTCAGTTACCATTTCGATATGTCACAAAAGTGTCTGCTAGACAAAAGTAAATAAATAAAGCCCTAAAGTGAATAGATCCTTTGAATAGACAGCTTATGGCCATCTTTAAGTGGTGGAGATTTCTTGTAATATCCCCACGCGATCACGACTTCGGGGCATCTCTGGCTCGCCACCTGCTGCTCCACGCTCTTGTCGCCCGTTGTCAGTGGCTGATGTCCTGCCGCCTTCGTCTGTGTTGTTGTTGATGTTGATGTTGCTGCCACTGTTTTCCCCGGGTTTTCATACGGCAAAAAGCAATTTGGCCTGCCAGCGAGCGGCTTTGGTGGTGCGCTTTGGTCCTCCGCGCTGACAGCCTTTTGTGCTGCCGTGTCTGTCCGCCTCCTTGGGCCCTGTCTCCTGTGTGGTCCTTTCTCCGCAAACAAGCCATTTTATACAGTTGCTGCTTCTGTCGCTGCGGTGTTGACACCCCGCTGGCTTTAGCACTTCAATTTTATAACGACAGCGGCGACAGAACTGCGAAAGTATTCCAGACACAGGACCAGAGGGCTGTCCAGATCCCATCACCTGCCTAATGGTCTGTGCTGGCTGTTGGCTGTTATAACCGGACATTGGCGACCATAACTTTAATGGAAATCACACACACACATTTACAGAGTCAGAGAGAGAGAGAGTGGCTTTTTTTCCACTCACTTACTCATTCACCGTTTTTTTTTCTGGTACATAATCTAGGCTATTAAAATTCAGTGCTGGAGATGACAGTGCGTATACGTAATGCGGCAAGATTGGCCCAAATTGGGTATTCAAAGGACGAAGGGATTTTTCCCCGGCCCAGCCCATAATTGCCGAGCTTTGCGCCACCAAACGAAAGAAGCAAATATAAAATCACATAAAAGCATCGTTTTTATAGGTACCGAATTTTGAGGAATTTTGCGAGAAGGAATTTTAAATCCGCAAAAGCAAGTTAATCCCTTCGTTTATTATGGAATTTCATCTCGAGATGAAACGGCCCGGCGAAGCCGCAGGAACCGCTTTCCTCGTCATCCATCATCCGCAGCCAGCAGAACCATCAACTACACTCGCATCCTTTGCTAATGATTGTGTGTGTGTATGCCAGGAGAAGTCTTCACCTCGTCCTTAATCAAAACCAAAAAAACGTTTGCCCGCCGGCTACCGCTTCACACCGATTCAGAAAACATAATATTTTTGAGGGGTGTGTGCGTGCCGGCGGCCTTGGCGGAAACTTGTTCCTGCCGGAGCATAGTTTCCTTCTACTTTAATTAAAACGACGAACAAACACGAAACTCTAGCCAATGGAGGGGGAAGAAATGTCGGGCTTATGGCCATCAATCAAAATGACAAAATAAAATGTTTGTTCTCCCGCACCGAGGGCGGGGCCTCTGCAGATAATAATGTGCATTGACAGGGCCTCGTCAAGTATGCAAAGGCACTCGCATTGGGTCCTAGAATAAGGATTCCGATTCGGATACGGATACGGGTTCCCAGTTTTTCGAATTCGACTGTTTGCAGCTGTCGAAAATGAAGAGACCATAAAATGTTGTAGCCAAACGGGACAAGGCAAATGAAATTTATTGCCTTGTTGTGATAAACGTGACGCGCTGTGCCAAAGGGCCACGCCCTCCAGCCGGTGGAGGCGGGTGGATGAGCAGGACATTTTACAAGTGCCTCTTACATTTGATTTGTGTGCCTGTGTGTGTGTGTGTGTGGGCCAGGCCAAAAGCGGCATTCACTGCCATTGCCATGCGAACGGCTGACAACAGGTTAATGCGAGCCAAGCCGCTGCCTGGGGGAGTGGCGTTTTGAATAATGAGGGCCAGATTGATGATCTCTAATGGCTGAACTTGGGTGCAAGTTGGCCAAATTAAGTTGTTGGCTAAATGGCGGAAAGCAAGACAAATTCTCATTCGAATATAAGCTGGGGGCAGCTATTGGGGCAAAGGATATTCTTACAATTTGCTTTTTATTTATTTGAAATAAAATAAAATTCTATATCTTGCCTAATTTTATTATAAAAAAATAAAATAAAAAATTTCATCTGTTCAACTTGAACTCAACTTGCGCAAATGTCACTCTGGGAAATGTGAAAATAAGTGGCAAATAAATTTAATGTAATTTTTTTTTTTTTGCATTTGTAAACGGAAACGGAAGCAGGGGTGGCTGCCAACTTCATTGAATTGTAAGGGGAGGCAATGCCAAAGCCAAAGTTCAAATGCAAGTAAAAGCCCTAACCGGATAACTGATAACCTAGAAAAGCTGCCGTGGCAAAGGGAAAACTTTCCCGTTCAAGGTTCAATCAACTTCGCCGGTGAACAGATATTTGCCCAAAATTCGTGTCCAACGTGGCGTATGCTCGACATTGGCCCTCAAAGTGTTTTTTTCTTTGCCCCGCAAAGCGCTTTAGTAGCTTGTTTTGACATTTTTCCATCCCGCTCTCCCTTTTTTTCCTAGCTTTGTTTTCGCCCGTTTTTTGTTCCAAAATTTCCGCTGGCTCTTCATACCTTTGCGCCTTGCTGCAGCTGTTGCCCAAAATTAAGCCTAAGAGGTACAAAAATTCGGCGAAAAAAGCGAAATTCCTCAAAGGTTCCACCAACTGCACTTGCATTCTTTACTTTTTTTCATTGCCTGCTTCCGGCTGCCAGCTGCTGGTTGCCTTTTTTCCGTGAAATTCTTTTCTCTTTTTTGCAATGTGCTACTGCCAACGCCAAAAAAGCCAGTTGGGTTAGTTTGAAGGCTCAGATAAGGACTCTGGAAAATTAATGCGCGACTTCTGCCTGGCTACGGGCGTCTGTTCTTGGCAGCCAACTTGGCCGGCAGATAAGGTTAAGTTTTTGTCTCTGTGTTTATGTGTGTGCTTAAATTTAACCTCACGAATTTGGGCCAGTAAACGCATAAAAAATAAACAAACACATTGCCATCGGGACGTGTATGTCACGTGAATGGTGCTGGGCTGTTCTTCTCATCCTTCGTGCGGCAATAATCGTAAAATAAAATTTCGTGCAGGACCCAACAGAAGGTGACCAAGACGCTGGCTCCGGGGATACCCTATAGGATTGATTCAGCATATTGGACGCATATTCTAAGCCCACGTTTAATATTTGCCAACTGAGCAGCGCAGCCACCTCGTGACTAGGCCAAAAGCCAACGAAAACATCCTGCGGCCAAAGGGTATTCGCCATTGACGAATGGCCAGAGTTCAAAGAGCCCCAAATTCAATGGAAAATGAAAATAAATATAGAATTAGCAGGGCGAGCGGAGAGGAGCGAGTCGGCATGCAAACGCGTTAAAATGTGAAATTCAATTTTGTTGAGAGGAAACGAGCAAAGGGCAAAAAAGGCATGCCGCAAAAATTCGGTCGGTGAAAAATGTGTGTCTGCTTCTGGGTTTGGGTTAGGGAGTGTGCTGTGTTGGTTACTCTTTAAAGTGTTTAATTTTAAAGGCGGGAATTCCGCCGCTTGCGGCATTAGCCAGCGGGAAATTTAAGGGGAGCAAGGAGCTCCTGGGGACTCACCACAATGCGCCTGACACGTGTCATTTTGCGGTAATCGCCCAGCTTGAGGCTTGGCAGGCGAACAATTTCCCGGGATTTGGCTGAAGTGCGTTGGTAGGAAGAAAACCCGGCAGCAGGCGCAGAAAGTTTTTCCTTTCCGATTTCCTTTTACCCACTGATTGCCGTCTGTCAGTTGCAGTTCGTAGCTCACAATTAGCGACGGCAAATGCAAATCTTTACGGCCGCAGGACACTGTCTAGTTCCTCTCCAAAATAAACACAACACGTTAAAGCACAAGCTTGGGTTTTTTTTATGGCAATCACTGTTAACACTGTTCGGCAGAGCTTAACTAAATAGGTATATATTTGCAAAATCTTTAATTCTGGAATCTGGTTTGCTCGAGTTTCTCGCCTTCGTTCGTAATTTTTCACAGCTTTTGGCCAGATTTTTCCCAGGTATCGACCGCTGCGCCAAACGTCTCAGATGAAACTGAACACTGAACGCTGCCTGAGATTCGCAGCCAGATGAAATACCCCCTGGAAAATCGGAAAATCCATGTGGCCAGGAGCAACAACAAAACTACGGCAAAGAGCGCAACTGCCGCTCGCCGTCTCTCTTGCTCTTTCGCCTGACTCTTGCTCTCCAGCACTCTTGCTCTCCCGCTCTCGGCACACACACACGGCGTATACGTAACGTTACGACAAAAACCAGCTGAGGGCACAGTGGTCCACATTTGAATAAAAAATGCGCCTTGAATTGTTTAATATCCTAGCGAGAAGATTTAAATAATATAATATGTGTCTAAATTGGTTTATAAATCGAAATTTATGTGTTCATTTTTATTGAAATATTTATAAAAATTGTTTATTATTAACTTTAAATAATTTTTATTTGGAGACTGTAAATCCAACTGCATTCTAAAGCTAAAATATGATGATATAATATGATTTTGAATCATTTTTTTCGAACATCTTTAAGAATGTTTACTTACGACTGCAAAGACTCAATCTATCTTTTGCTTATAAAGTCTAAGGTCTTTAATATCCCTCCTTAAAAATATTTACCCTTATTTCCACCAACCTTGACCCACTGTATCACTTTCATCCTTTTGTTCCCGGCTTTTTTGCAGTGTATGAGAGATGGCAAGAGAGAGTTTTTTTGCGGCCACTGAGAGCGCTTCCTTTAGGCTTGATAAAACTTTTATTTTACCAAACAAATTGCAGAGCCAAAAAAAAAACTGAGGCACGCGGGCAACTGAGGCACGCGAGAGCAACAGCAAAAGCAGGATTCCGGGGAAAGTCTCGGTCGGAGTAGAAGTTTTTATTGCCGGGAGAGGCGAGAGGACGCTAAGTGGGTGCCTGTCCAAGGGAGTGTATGTTGGACGGTGTGTGTCCGTGTGTTTATCTGTTTGTTTTCTTACATTTTCTGTGTATTTTATTGTTTTTTTTTTTTTTTTTTTATTTTCCTCCCCGCTGCGAGAGAAGCGGGCTAAAGTCGAGAAATTCAAAAATCAGGCACTCCAAACTTGTTGATGAAAAACCACTGCATGTGCGGGAAACTCCCAGACTAGTTTCCATATTGGGGTGGCTCGGCTCGCAAGGTGGCATATTTACAGGAGCCAAGGAGCAACATGTTGATTTTACACGTGCTGGACTAGAGCGCACAGGTGGCGATGTTAACCCAACCAAATGTGAGATAGCGTCCGTCTGCGAACTCCTCGTGTGTGTAATTTAAAAATGCAATTCATTAAGCGCGCGCTAATTGCAATTTAATTGCATAACGAGCAAAAGGCAGAGATCGCAATCAGAACATGATTTTCCCTCCATTTCTCTTTTATATTTTGTAGCCGGAAATTGCGCTGCTCACAAATGGAGCACAGATTTCATCAACTTTTGGGGCTTAATTGAAACAGGTTCCTCAGTTTGGGAACGATTAGGCCAAAGGAAAACAGGGCAGGCAAGTTTTTTGGTTTTAAAAAATGAAAGCAAAACATCTTTCTGGAAGAGTAAAAGTTCAAGGCAGCCTGACAAGATTTATAAAAAGGGTTCTTTGGTTAAAAACACCAAGGTAATTGTTTGAAACTCAAAGGGAAAATAAGAGGCCAAGTGGAGACCCTTACAGTTATAAGAAACTCTTAAACTTTTGAACCTGTTCAGAAGGTAAGAAGGAAAGAATGCTAATATAAGTATAAGGATTATTTAGTTAATCTAACTTTACAAAATCTTAGTAGAAATGGAAACCCCATTTTTAATTCCAATTAATAATTAAAGTAATTTTTTAAGAAAATATTTTCTTTTTTTATTTATTTGCAAACGGATATTACCTTAAATTTAAATACGATTCGGCAGGCTGAAGGAAAGGCGTAAAGGCTTACCAACTTAATCTATGACAAAACGAAAAATTTCTGCTGTTATTAAGCCTCACATGCATGTTTTCTGCCTTGCTTTTTGCTTTTCTTGTTCGTTTTTCTTCTCTTGTTTATCAGCTTTTTTTTTTGTTTTTCCGGGCTCAAAGTTAGTCGCTATTATTGCTGCTGCCCGGACTGCCTTCTGTTTTGCTGCTGCTGCCTTTTGCTTAGACCGGCAGTTCCGGTGAAGGAGCCGCAGTAGCGTGCCCAAGTGGCCCGAAAGGGGATTTCCCAGTCCCGGCTGCCACGTGTAATCCTTTCTGCCATATGACCCCACCGGTAGCCATTCCCAATCCCATTCCTATGGCCCTCCGTCCGGGTCTCGCTCGCATTCTTTCGGTATTTTTAGGCTTCCCTTTTCAATCTTTGCCATTGTTGGGGTTTCTTGTTTTGTTTGGGCTTTGATTACTTTAAGTTTTGGTTTTCGAATAATTGGCACAGCTCCGTGGAGGCGGCACTGATAGGTCTTTGATGTAAATGATAGCAGGGGAGGATTTCAGCCGGGATATTGGGGATTGAAATTTGCATTTGCGTTGGACTCAACTTGTATGTTCGTATACATATATCCAATGCCCTCGGCTTTGGCCGGTAATTCATTTCATAATTACGCATTTGGCTTAATTGGCGGAGTTGGACCGTGAATTGTGGTTAGCCATTCAATTTGAATATTATGCCGGATTATTCCCCCCTTTGCAGCGTGCGTAATAATTTATCATAATTTCATAAACTGGCCAGTGGCCACATAAAGCGCAGCGCAACTGCATAGAAATCGGGGCAACCATTTCAGCAATCCTCGTGCCAATGGAGCGTTGATAAAAGCGGCTTTACGATGAATACTCAGCGCCAACACCAAATGCCACAAGCTCTTGAATGTGTCGTTAAAGCCAAACATTGCAGAATCAACAGAGTGATTATGCCCTTTCAAGGGGTTAGGACCATGTGGTGGCAAAGTCCTGGCTGAAATTTGTAGGGCAAAAACTTGTACATGCTAAGTTTTTACAGAAAATTACATGTATGATAGCCGATCTATTAGCAAAATTTTCAAAAGTGATCTTCATAACCGAAGCTGCCCTAGCTGGTCATTACATAATTCTTAATTAATTTTAAATATTAAAATACAGTTTTTAAGAGTCTGCAATCCACAGAGTATCCCGCATTCGTGCTTAGGCCACAAGTTTCAAATTCGTTTTTCATTGCATGAGTTTTATGGCCACGCTGCAGCACTATTTGCTGACAATTAACATTTTATGCGTTCTATTTTTTCCAGCTTTTATATCGCCCACTTCAGAAGCGACTAACTGCCTAATCAAGAGTTAATCCAGCCGGCCCTTTTCCATCCTCCTCCTAAGTAACTGCTTTTGCGCTGCCAGTGAGGTCATAGTTGGGGCTTCTGGACCGACGCATAATAATTAGCTACCAGCGCAATTTGCCGCAATTTATGCGCATACATTCTGGGAAAGGACTACTGTGCTCTACGCGCTTATGCCTTTGTTCAATTTATGCAGAACATTTTGCGATTGTAAATGCTTAAACGATGGAAAAACCGGAGCCAAATGTTTGAGCTGAGTTTGCCATCCGGTTTTAATTGTGGCCAAGCACAATGGATGGACCATATCTATATAGAATCTCCATCTCCATCTGCATCTGCAGCTCGCCTTCCTTGGAAAATGACAGCTTGTGTTAAGTGAATTTGGTCGCCGCTTTCTATTTGCCATTTCAATTGCAAATTAACTTTGCAATCCAATGTCTGACAATGGCAAAAGCCCTCGACCGACATGTGTGGGAATGCCAGGCAACCGACGCACATGGATATATATATATATTCTATATGTGTTTTAGAAATATATATATGTATAAACACCACATGGCAGCCACAAAAATAAACTCAACTGCTGCTCTTCCTGCTGTCGAGTGGAGAATGCAATGCTCTTTGCTTCGCTGGGCGCCCACACCCCATTCCCTCAAGTTATTTCTAATTAAAGCTTAATTGTCTCTAGCTGACAGCCATATGTAGTGAAACACGCAGAGAAATTAAACTGCGAGTCAACAAATTAAACTTTAACTGTTCTTCCTGTCTCGATTAAGAACTCTGCCCTAGTAAATGATTTCTTTTCCGGATAAGACGGCTTGAATTCAATGCCAATCGCCTGTGGCCGGGCTTACACAATTTTGGGGATTTTTCAACTAACTTCCCTGGCCGCAACGATTATTTATGTTCGTACGTGCATCAATGTTGCTGCAGCTGCCACAGCCTGCAACCAATGTGGCAGACAAAACAAAACCACTGTGGGCGGTGGCGGTGGCTGGCAAATTTACATAAAGACTTAAGCCAGAAAGCCAGGAAACGTGGCCGAGTCACGTTTATTGGCCACAGGCTGGTCACACAAGCAGCACAAATCATGCAAAATTAAATTCAAGTGAGCCGATAGGAGCTCTCTCCGTCCTTCCATTCAGTTATTGATTGAAAGTTCTGCTCGTCTTTTTTTTTGTGAACTTTCTAGTCTCTCACGGAATGCAATTTGCCACTGCCACTGCTGGCTCCACAAAGTTACGCATACGCCGTGTCGGCCGCAAGCCCACTAAGAAACCATTTTGGTTCAAGTGTTTGGCCAAACAAGGGAACATGTGTCTCTTGTCTTGTTGGAACAGGAGCATAGGAAATTGCAGGACACTGCAAACACAGCAGGCAGAACGGAGCAAATGAGGGTAACAACAACAGCCACACTCTTGGTAGGACATGCGACATGTGCGTGTGCTTTCGAAATGAAATGAAAATGCGGCACCCAGGACATGTTTTGGTTTCGAAGGAACTGCAGAAAATTTGCTGATACAGAGACGAATCATGTCGACGAGATGTTTTCCTTCATACGGAAGCAGTTTTGAGCAATATAGATTGCATATGAATTGGTGATGCAGTCATCCTTGGTTAAAATCATTCGGGTAACTTTCAAGACTTTGGGGTTGATATTTATTTATACATAGTTCTTCCAAACGAAACTAAGCATAGCTTATAGTCAAGCAGTCCTCGTTTGAGTTTATTTATAATAATTCATTC